CTTAAGTGGCGATCAGTGGTACGAAGGTATGAACACCAAACTTTATAGAGCTGTCGAGTTCTTAGGTTGTCGCAATTGCTACACATTGGAAATGAAACTATATTTTCGGATCAAAATTGCGTATATTTGGTTTATCAAAGAAACTGCAATGAACTCGAAACGTTGATTTGCTTGAATACCAGTATTAGCTACGACCAACGGACTTGTAAAGAGTCCGAAATGTCGTCGGTTTGTTTGACAAAACAAATATACACAATTTGTAAATCGCGTGTACTTGTCGGATATATCCGTGAAAAACGTTTCTAATTTACAGCCGATTATATTACGAATCTTCTACTAAAGAACGATAATGCATGTTTGCAGAGCTGAACGGTTATATTTGTAAAGTGACTACGACACAAATAGTAAGTAAGAGTTTATGTGATATATTTAAAGGATCTTCGTATATCTTTTCGAATAATATTGTCAAATGCCTGCTAATTGTTTTTGAAATACTTATATCTTGTCCAGTTCATCGATTTAGCTCGTAAAGTGTGTTGTTATAAAATAAATAATATTATGAAACTGGACAAAAATTATCAAGAGAACATATTTGGAGTATGAAACATTTAATGTGCATTTATTTTAAATTTTATCTTCAAATTGAAATGACAGGTAGATTAAGCCATTGACCGTATGTGCGTCTAAACGTCTTAATTTCAGAGCGAAAAGTTATCCTCTTTATCAATATGTCTACACAGCTAATCAGTTATAATTACACTACGCTAAAGTTTGGCGATGAATAAAATTCGATGGTGTAAATCACTATAATAAGAGTGATGTTATTGTAGTTTCTAGCAACAGCTCTTGTCGATCTGCGATAGCATAATGAAGGCCCTACGCAGCCTCCCTAAAAAACTGGACTAAAAACATTTATGACATAATGAAAATAACTCAAAATTTAACAGTAACAAGATTATAACTACGACTGAAGTCAATTATTGTTAAATAATTTCATTAACATTATAATACGAATCTGAAATATAAAGGGCGTAACCTTTTGTAAAAACTCAAATGTTTGTAAAAGCTGTTTGTTGTGTTATTCTAGATAGCTGTAGTGTATAGATAATAATATTAACTAGGCATGTAATAAAGTTCTTATGTGAGTATATCGCACAAAATGATATTACAATGGTTTCGTATATTCTTTATATTTTTTAGGCTTATTGATGTTTGTTGTTTCTTCGTTCAGCGTCTAGTAACTTTTATAAATTATTTTAAAAGCAGTCGTAAGTTCCGATTTTTTTTTAAATTATCTACATTATTATTTTAATTCTGTTCTCAAGAAATGTTATTTTTATTATTTACTAACAAAGATGCATAGAAACGAAATAAATTCATAGCAATATTTTTATTAATAAAGGCTACTACAATGTTTGTCCGTTTCTGTAATTTCTCGAATAAATGTATTCTAAAATTAATAGTAGCTCCGTGAAATCGAAACTTTTGTATTATAATTTCATTAAGACCTATTTGAATATCAGTGTGAATACTTATTTACATCGTGATGTAACTCAATACTCCTTAAACATTGAAACTGTATACTATGGAATTTCTAAGGCCGCATTTACACATCCTCACTTTTTTTTACTAACTGTTGCAAACTAGCATTAGGCATGTTTTTTAGGGCAAAGTATTTTCGATTTAGGACCTCACGTCTGGCGTTGTAGTTCCTGTCAAACTTTCTATTAACGAGTTATGTTCATATATACATAAAAAGGTAGTCATATAGTATAAATTAGTGGGTAAAGTTAATTTTTTAAATCTGCAGGTAAGTCTTAATCCCTTGTTACAAAAATGTTAGATTTGGCAGTAAGAGCCGGCGCCCACTAACATTACGGCTCGGCAGGGGATCCCTTTAGTACAGTGACGGCAATTATGCCACGGCGTTCTTATACATATTGAAGTATCTTAGGCATGCACTGGGCGCCGGGCCTTAATGAGAAGAATGACAATTTGGGTAATTGTTCGGAAAAGTTCAAATTGTCGAAACTTTTTAAAACATTTTTCAGCAAAATGTTGAAATTTAGGAGAAAAATTATCAGAATAAAAGTCCTGATAATTTTTCTCTTCTTTTTTTATGGATGTTTTCCGTGTCCTAACACTAGACATCTCCAGCGCTAACACAACAGAGTGCGTGTTGCGCGAGAAGCGACAAATAAGCACGAGAATAGCAATATCTTGCGTTTCTCGTGAAACTCGCGCCTTGTTGCGTCGTGGTAGCGCTGTTGATATGCTCAGACGAATAACAACCCCAAAAGTAAATGAGGTCTTAAAATATTGTTTAAACAGACGTAGGTTAGGTACTCATAGCTGAGAAATGCGAGTGCATTGACTTGTTGTTTCTGTATTATACGTATACCTAAATGTTAACGTGTTGATGGTAAATAAACATTCTAAAAACGTGTTTTGTTTAGTTTTCTTGACTGCTTTCAAACCGAGGATACTTGAGTTTCACGACTTTCCTACAAATTGTTCGTCGCTGTTAGATGAAACGACGAGAACGATGTATGCAAATTACACTTGAACTAGTATAGGTCATTCGTAAAGGCAGATTCCTCTGAGAAGAAAGAAGCTCTGAGGGTTGCTCTTTGTAAATAAATATTTATCATTTACAATATTTATCCTAAATGTCGAACCAACCTTCTAGCGTTTTGATACCATGAACGTTATTGACTTTTTTTTATCAAGTGACGGGATGAACAAGTCGCGCGCCTGGTGGTAAGGGATACGCCTGTCCGTAACAGTTGCAGTGCCACTCAGAGCTTTAAATCGCAAAGATCCGAGGGATACTGCCATTGCGCTTGTCACCCTGAGATATAAGTTGACAAGTTCCATGTGCCTGTAATTTCACCAACACCCCTTACCCTTCTGTACCGGAACGCAGGAATACTCACATTACTGCTTGGCTGCAGAAATAGGTAAGGTGGCAGCTAGGACTTTCCTGGAGGAACTCTTTCACAAGGAGCCTTACTGCTACGAAAATGTTTATAAGTTTATATTATGTATATATTATACATATAGGAAATGAAACTATTTTTCCGGATTTAAATCGCGTAAGGTAGTGGAATCAATCATAGACGGTTTAAGGATTTATTTTTTGTTTTAGTCTATTAGTTATCCTGTGGAACTCGTGGAAAGGTTTAATTGATTAAAAAGTCGTCAAATAACGATTGAAAGTGCTTTAATCATATCAATTAATAAATAAAACATTGTTATTCGAGAAAAAGTAGACCCTGTTTGAGTATCTTTATATGGACAGCCCAATTTACAATTGTGGATTCCTAAACATGAACGATCAACTATTTAGCCAAATTAACAAATTCAATCTTAAAAAACGATATCTTATTTGGTACTTAAACGAATGATGTGACGTTTCATATAACCCATTTGTGACTGGTAACAATGGGTGGTCATTCGCTTAAGTGCCATGTCTAAAAAAATCAAATCCAGTAATGGACGACCAGTGACGGACACTGTTTCCATTATTATGTAGACTTAAAATAATGTAATAAGCTATAAATTACATTAAAAGTCTGGCTTTATAATGATGGTAAGCACAAGTAAAGCTCTTTAATGATAAAATCCGATTATGGACAAATATGTTCATGATTGGGTAAATAGCTATATGAGATCCAGTAATAAACACTTAAAAGTTACCTATGTCATTATTTTACGGTTATGTTTTGTTTAGATGCTTAAAACAATACCAAAAACATAAAATAACCACGGAAGTCACCACACTCTTAAATACCACATTCAAATATGATTATAAAAACGTACGCGACTCGCGGTCCTTATAAGAAATCAGTTTTATTTTAAATTTGTTATCACCGTCTTATTTCGCACCGTGATAATGGCGAATAAAGATGGCCGCCAGCTGTCAAAATTTAACTGATGTCTTCCATTTTGATCAAATATTACAAAAAATTTTGAAAGTGAAAAGAAATCATTAGCGTTTCCTTATGTAGTTAAAAAATGTTCATGGTTGGTGCACTGTCCATCATCGGTTCCGCTTCTTGCCATTGGACCACCTTTCCACTACTATAATATTTTTTTTTGTTTTTTCAAACAAACCAAGGGTTCGAGCCCTTTACAGGTTCCAACGTCATAGCCGTGACTCACGTCACGTTTGGTAGAAGAAACAAATATACGCGGTTTAAATCCGGAAAAATAGTTGCATTTCCTATGTGTAGCAATCGCGAAAATCTAAGAACTCATTATTATAGTTAATACTTCGCGGTTCAATTCATGAGCACACGTCAAGACTGTGTCGTGAGCATTTAACGTCTTAGGCGCAAATTCACAACAATTTTAACGATATTTTATACTTAGGAGTTCGACTTGGGCAATGAAAACCTACAGCGAAAGTTTAAAATTAAGCCATTGCTGCCCTGAGGGTCGAGCAGTTGGAGTCCTGCGACAATGTGCATTTTAATTCATTTGTGGTGAGATTAGCAACTCAACACGTGTCGAAGGTGGGCTTTTGGCCTAAGGGTGTCCATATTCTGGCGTTTCCGAGGACGGCTACCAGACACCCAAGATGCGTCACACATCGCGATCCATACGTGTAAATAAAGCAATAGTGTTAAATGTTTTATTATATTATTATATATGTTAGTCTATAAGGTATGTATTTATGGGTCTTTAGTAACCTGATCATAAATAAATAAATAAATTCAAGTATAATATATCGCACCCCTCACGGAAGAATGGCATAAGTTGAGTTACGTCAAACATGTTTATAATTCAATTAGATAAAGAAAAATATAACCCACATCCTCTCCAATTCTTGTAACACTGTCTACAAAATTAGTTGATAGAATTATAAGAGTTGGTGGTGGATGTGAGTTATATTTTTCTGTATCTAATGGAGCAATAAACGTTTTTGACGCAACTCTACTTATGCCATTCTTCCATGAGGGGTGCGATATATAAAAAAAACCAAGAAGCTATTGCAAATTTTTTTATATTTTGTACCAAACAATAAGTCAATAATTAATTAGCTAAATTATCTATCTACTTTGATATAGGTATCCACATATGTGGAGGAAAATACCAGTTCCGTCTATTTAGTTGTATTATAAGTTTGGTAAAGCTGATATTGCAATTTATGATATTATCTATTGCGGGCAATTTTTGCCGAGTGAATAGAGTCAACATTGCCCAGGAACTGCCAACATTACCCAAGTAGGTAAAGTCTTATTATGAGGGCACAGTAGAGTTACCACCGTACTTAGTACATCAACTGGATTCACGGGTAATGTTGACTCTACCTGTGCTGTTAGATGTATATAATATCTTTAACAAGAAGCAGTCTTTGAACAATATTACTATAAATTTAATAAAGCATTTATTACATTAACACAAACTTACATTTATAATCAGAGGATATCATACATTAAGTAACAAATAAAGGTACTTGGGTGAATCAACTAATTGTTGCCCAGCCGTTTTGGATGTGTTAAAAAATACTTTCTAATTGTATCTATTATAAAAATATTCATGTATATAAAAAACGATAATTTGGTACTTTATTCATACATATAATATACAGGATATTTGTAAAATATCAACAACCTTGTCGGAGTACATTACTCATTCATGACTTTTTACAATATATTAAAATTTTTGTTGTACTATACGACTCTTTTTAAATCTGTATTAAGATTTGGTAGTAAGATGCAAGCGTCTTCCCCGATGTCTCCCGTCCCCGCTCCTGCGTTTTGCATTGGACGGGTATTTACGCAGGCGATTTTTTGTTACCGCAGCTTCACGAGTTTTTGTAGAAAATAAAATCTGATGACCGTAACGGTTTGACCTACAGCCTCTTGAGCAGAGGCTGTGCGTTCGAATCTGGACTTGCACTTCTGTTTTTTTGTTTAGGAATTTATGTGCGAATTTTTATTTGAAATGTACTATGAGCTTTTGAGTGAAGGAACACATCGTGATTAAAACCTGCACGTCGAAAAAGGTTCACAACGCTCGAAAAACGTGGGAAGTGCCCAACCCCGCATTGCACTAGCGTGGGGGACTATCACTTTAAGAGTGAGTTGATGATGATTGAAAAAAGTTGATGTTTAATATGTTAGTAATGTAGTCCTGAGAGGATGTCAGCATTTTAGAAATAACCCTAATATCTTATACAAATATTGATGAAGACCATATAACAATCTCCAGTAAAGGTGAGGAATTCTAGTCATGTTCCCTGGGTTACCACGAAATTAAGTAAAAAATTATGTCTTCTTCGTTATCTCGCACTTTTGAATGCCTTATTTATTCTCATTAATTTTGTTACACTGGGTATAAAAATGAATGCAATTTTATAACAGAATTTTGTACAGTCAATGCCCTATGTTACCTGCAAGCTGATTTTAATTCAAATCGGAAAGGATCCGATCGTGTAGCCCATTCGAGTCTCGAAATCAGATGGGTTTTGTGAGCGAGAAGATAAACTTGATTCCTACTATATCTTTCTAATTTGTGAGTTAAATAAACTATTGTTCCGATTTGAAATGTCAAAAGTTTCCGATCGGCCAGTTGTGAACCGCAATTATGCGCCTCGACTCAGAAGAGACGCAGTTTCCGATCGCTGCTGTCCCCCTAACAGAACTTTTGCTTAAATAAGTGTGAAGAAAAGTGCTAAACAACCTATAACCTGTGAGTTTAATGATGTTTTAGGAAAGTGTTTAAATTGCTCTATCATAAACTTACTGAAAGACAGAATACAAATTTGAACCGTAAATGCTAAAGATGGCTCTCAGGATCAGACAAGGGGTGACAATCATTAATTGATACAATTTCAATTAAAAAGAATAACACAACAGTAGGATGAACACTGTCAACGTAAAAAGTATTGTTTCTTTGATACTAATTAATAAATATAACTACTTCTGTAAAATTCAAGAAATGACCATTAATCAATTTAAGATTTAAATGAAATATGTTCTTATGGTTAACACAAAGTCTGATGTACTTCACCTAAAGGCTAGTGTTGAAGACACACGCACATCAAATTTAATCATAGAAAGGGTGCCTATGCAGAAGATAGGTTTTATGAAGACTCCTATACACACCCATTATGTTTGAATACAGATAAAACACATTTGCTACATATAACATATCTTACTGAGTAACGTATTATACAAAGTAACATGTTTAAGGAGACTAAAATTAAGTTTAAGCATGCAAGATTCATAAAGATTATATTACCTAGCTAACAATCAGTTTTGTACTAAGATTGGACGTCTTCAGGACCCTCGTTCTCAGCCTTTTTCATTTTCTTAGCTTTTATATCTGCCATAGTTTGCTCAATAGACCTTAAATCTTTTTTATTTTCGCTAGGAACTTCTCCATAACTTTTATTCATATTAGTTTTTTGTGCAGCGTCTATTGCTGCTTCTTGTCCGATAAGATGAGCATATTTCTGTTTATAGTGAGTTCCGCTTAATTCTTCTTTACCACGCTTACGTTTTCTATTTTTATCGTCTTCAGAATCTAGAGCGGCCTGTTTTTCATTTTCTTCACGTGTTTTTTTCATATCTGCAGCTTTTTCGTCATCCCAAACACCACCAGCTTTACGTACTGTCAATTCATCTTCAGTTGGACCATTTTCTTTTGTATAAACTATTGAATAACGATCTACACTCTCTTGCCCAAATGAAAAAACTTGAGCGCCAGCGGTCTCAGCTACATCTCTAATAATAGATCTATACATTTGTTCCATAGGTTCAAACTGTAAGTACTTTTTTGTACCATCTTTAATGAATGCAGCTATTTTTTCCTCAGTCCGTTTTCTGAACTTATTCAGCATGTTCTTATGTTCGTTTTGTTTACGCTCCATGGCTTCCTTTTGTTTCTTCATGGCATTTTTTTGGGCTTCGCTGGTTGATGGAGGTTTTTGCATAGAATTGAGAATAGAATCTAAAAAATCCATGGTTTAAATTTGATTTTCTGCTATAAATGACGTATATCCTAAGATCTCAGTTATCCTTTTTTGCCACAAAGGTGATATCTTGAAATTTTCAACAAGAGGATCAGTGCTAAGTCCTTTAAATGAGAGGACTTCTAAAGATGTGTAGATTAAGGCACAGGCTTCACTGCCAAATGTGATAATGTCTTCAGCAAAGTCTAAAAGAACTTTCAGTGACGGTTGGAAGGGAGTGCCTTTGACAAGTAGTGTTTGTTGCGTAAAATTTACTTCCTTACAGCTCTCCTGTAACGCCTTGTGTTTATTACACAGTTTTTCAAATAAATCTTCTAACTTTGACCTGGAATTTAAAAAATGGACAGTAACAGTACAGAATAATTACGGTTTCAAATCAAATTATCTCTCCATTTAAGGTTAGTTGTAATGTTAATGCAGCGGAATAACCTATAACTTCAGTCAGTCCGGACTTTAGATAGCAAAGTCAAAGTTAACGATATATATAAACCCATTCTGAGATTTAGGTTCTGAAGTTAATATAATAATAATATAGACAATCTTGTATAACGTGAACGATAAAAAAGTTATAAGATACGTACAGATTGCTTCTTATTTCCTTTATCTCCTCAGAAATAAGGTTATGCAGAATCGCGGTGAGCTTCCCTTGCAAACCTTCGAACTCCTCTAATGGCGTACCACTCACTTCAGTTCTTAAACAATAACAACGAATTTACGACCACTAAAACCACCATTTAAGTTGAAATCGTAAAATTTTTTACTTACTCTTTTATCTTCTTGCAACGAACGACAAATTTATTTATAGTTATTGCGCAGCTTTGGCAATCTTTCAAACAAGTTTTAGTCGAATTGTGGAATTCTTCGAAGAAAGAGTAGAAGTCAATTATTTGTTTTTGTATCTTCGCTTCCATTATAAGAATACAAAGCCATCACTTCAGCTTTTTAAATTAAAAAAACGAATACACCAGGCAAAACAACAGCACTATGAACTTTACTGTCAAATGCGGGGAGTTTTTGACATTAGGCTTGGATTTATAAAGTTTATTGATTGCTTCTGGAAATGTTAAATTGATTTATTTTTATGACAATTTTGTGGTAAAAGGCGTTTGTTCACCGAATGAAGCCTAGTCGAGAACTTGTGGAAATTATAGATTCAATAAAAAATGTAGTGATAAATAATATAGAATTTTTGTAATTACTTATCGTCTCTGTAAACGCAATTATATGTCAGAGTGACAGCGAGTAAGTAGTGTTTACACATGCTAAATCCGGTAATCTAGTGAAAGTTTTTACTTTTTTCTAGCACTCGACAATTATACATAAAATATTAGTATTTAATATCTTTTATTCATGTTAACAATTACTTAATGTAGTAGCCAAGTTTATATAATATTTTTGTCACACTAAACTCTACGGAGAGCTTCGTTAATCTTCGACATCTTCCGGATTACATCGGGCACTGGTCGATCGCGATCGGGTACCTGTCACCCGTCTGCACCAATAGCCGGCCACGCTGATGCCCCCTAAAATCAGGCAGTCTTTGCTTACTTTCTATGGAGGATGTATGTTAAGCCTCGCCGCGGTTATTTCGATAAAAACACGTCGCAAATTAAATAAAAGACGAGTGATCTAAACAATAAACACACTCATTAAGAGTGATGAAAAATGAATATAAAGAGTGTAATTTAATAATAATAAATTGTATGTAAACTTGCGGAAATTGTGTCGAGCGACTGGTGAAAATGAATGGTAAAATGCACAGTGCTACCGGCGCTTTCTCAAATGACGGCATGCGCGCCGAAATATTGAACCCTTTTGTCCACAAATTGGAATTAGATAACACATACGACAAAATAAAGGTACGAAGACGTTTTGAAGCTTATGAACATTAGAAAAGAAACTAACAAAAATGAAGGTTTATATGATTCTGTAGGAATAGTGAGTAGGGTGCAATTTGCGCAGACTCAAAACGAAATATAGAACAATGCATTGTATATGTTATTAAAATTTCAATCAAATGTTTGTTTAGGGGAAAGAAGCCATTTAGTTATTACTGCTTGTTTAAATTAAATTATTGACTAGTTAATGGCATTTATTAAGATAAACGAATTAATGTAAAAAGATTACAGCGACTATATACCAAATGTTTAAAATTTCTATTCAATTTACGTCAACGTCAAAGTTTTAATAAATCAAAGGAAGTGAACATTGTTTTACGTAATACAAATTTCTCTTGCGGTCTCTTCGTAGAGTCAGAAGGTAATTGTATGAACTGTGCGGACAAATAATACAGTGTGCTATTGACGCTGCAATTAAAGACAAAACAATAAACATTGTCACACACCAAATCAAACACGTTAAATTTAATTTGGTTACAATTATGGAGCAAGTATATCCATTTAAAATGTTTACGTAATTGTCTTAGGTAATCTTTCAGCAAAGAATACATATTGTTAACGTATTTTGAGGAATCACGTTCCAAAAAATTATAAAACTTTCGATAAGTATAAAAAAATACGAACTCTACAGTACAAGTACAGCGTTGACTCGTCGTACGAACATAGAACATAATATATAAAACTAAACAGTATTACTTGAGAGAGAAAAGTATGATGAGTATTTTTACTTGACCTACTTCATTTTTGGGACAAGTTTACATAAAGAATAATTCGAAGCGTTTTTTAGTTTAATTATTCTAACAAGTACAATTTCAATGCACCGAATTGTCGGTTCGGTTAGTTACAATGTTGATATTTTATTACTGCCCTTAACAACAAAACAGAAACTACATAAGAGATATATAAAGAAATTAATGTTCATTGAAATTTAGCTTAAAGCTTTTGCAGTTATTCGTGTTTAAAGAAGGTCTATGAGTTTGATAAAATAAATACATGCAAAATACTGCCGTGATCACCGAAAGAAGGCCGATCTGTCACTATTTTTTTTCCGAAGGGATAAGACATGAAGTTGCCGCAAGAGAAAAGTAGCTATTTTTTAATTTAATTTCTTTGAACATTATTTTCTCGGTTTTCAGTTTTGTCACAAGCGCCCTTTCAACTAACGGCGGAAGAATGGTCGATCGTGATATAACAATTAAGTTAACAGAAACAAATATAACATTATGAACGTTCTAGCCCTCTATTCTAGGTAACATTCAATATATAATTTAATTTGAAAGTTTTGAGATTTAACCAAAGAGAAAGGTGGTGCAGTACGTGTATAAATTATATAAGACTAGGCAGAATATTTTGTGGAAACCGTAATTTTCTAGAAAATTCAAATTCTATTGAACTATGTAGAGGTACGATTATTACCTCGAATTTAGCCGGAATTTTTCTAGAATGAAAAATTATAATTCATCAGTCAGCCTCGACAGCGGAACCTTTGAAGAGCCCAAAACGCTGGTTTCTTCGGAAATGCTATTTAGATTCAAAAAAGTATTTCGTTTCCAATGTGTAGCAATGGCGAAAACCTAAAAACTCTATCCAATAGCTGCATGTGTAGGATAACATCATTTTAACACTACTTCAAAACGAGGAAGTCGAACGAAAACTAAACGTTGTATGACATCGAAAATTCTCTGAGCTAATGAATGACTGAATACATCTTTAGTCTTCAATGAACGTACACATTGTACGTGTGCTTGTACAGACGAAACGGATGCGATTTTAAAATTATCACCACAAGACGCACATGCGTCGTAATGTTATATACTTAGCTGTGAAGATCTGGGACACGTGAACGACAATGACCTTTCAAGCCAAAGATTCTGATGTATTTTTACACCTGCACCTTTCAATGTTTTTGCTCATTGCAATATTGGCGAATCATAAGATAAGTAAATTCATGAAAACAACATAACGAATAGCTAATAAATTATAACAATGACAGCAAAAAAGGCCTATACGAAACAAATCGAGAAAGTGTTTTGACGTACGGATACAAAGACGTGAAGCCAAAGATAGTTAATTTGTCAAACATCTCGGCCAGTCGGTCAAGTGAGTTACAAACCGGTGTTTACTATAACAATGTAAAACCCGCTGAGTTGTCTTTCTCAGAGTTTATATAAATTAACAAAGAAAGGTTTGAATTGACCATAATGTTGGCGAAATTGAAATCTGAACAATTTCGTAAAATTTAACTCTACAAATTTCAGCTTTCATACATAAAAATGAGATTGAGTTAAAATATCAGATTAAAAACATCGTTCTAAAATGACTGTAAAGATGAAGTTACATAATTTGGACACAAATACTAGGTTGTGTAATCAATTATATGTCAAGATTTTATTATGTCGACAATTTAATGTCGATGTTTGCAGACAGGTTGACCGAAAACTAGGTCATATCAATAAATATTTGTTAATACATAATGCTTATAGCTAAAACGTAAGGTCCACCTATATTGAACAGAAGGTAGTTTACATGTTCCTTAATTTTTTAAAGCTTTACTTTTAACGAGTATATTACAATAAGGACAAATGACAATCGAGTATTTTAAAAAAAGATTAATTTAAATGCAGTTTGTCGTTTTAAGATCAAGGCAACTTTGGTACTTGTTAAGGTTAAATCGTTTTCCTTTCAGCTATTGTCTTTAACTGGGTAAAACAGAATTGTATCGCTTTAAAATATCTATTTAGACGAAACTGAGGTCGACAAACATTAGTCTGCATCGACGGAATGAGTGAACAAAAGCATAGGACAATGAAAAGCATCGCGAACCAAACTTTGCAAGAGCATTAGCGATAAGAGTCGTCTAAATATAATTAATGAATTTGAATGGTAAATTTATAAAAAAAACTAACAAATAAAAGGCACTCTTGATTACTAAGTTGATGCAATACCAATTGTTGCAGACGGCGATATTCACTGTGATCTTACTTCCATTCCGAGTGATCGTGATCTGCTACTTGATTGTCACGGCATGGTTCCTCGCGTGCATCGGGCTCTATGGCCTCAGCGAAGAGGACCTCAGGCGGAAACCCATGACTGGGTGGCGAAGGTAATTAGACTCAGTGTTTATTTTGTCACGTAAATATACAGGGTCAAGAGTACGTCAAGTTATGCGCTTATGACTTAAATCCAACTCTATGCCGCTTATGTATGTAATGGTCCAAAATCCAAAATGAGACGCTTGACGTGCTCTTAAGTGTACAATTTCTAAGGGTAAAGTTGTAAATGTTTTAACCAAAAAGTGCGTATGCGAAGTTAATATGCTATTGGAACAAAGTATATGTACTTATTTTTGAATAAATTGCAAAACTTGGTATGTATCAATCTGACAGTATTTTTTCGGAAATCTGTTTAATTAAGTTGTTGAAACCAATTAACTGTAATCTGTTTAGGTTTCATTGAAGTCCGCAGTGTTGTAGAAAAATTCAGACTTCATTACATTGTAATACGTTCTTTTATTATTTATATCGAATTATTGGTTTTTATTTCACGTCGCTATTCAATTTAATACTTTCACAATACTTTCAAAATTGGATAAAATGACTGTGACAGGTGATCTTTTGGGCGTTGCTTCTGTAATGTTAGGCATTAATCGGTCAAGGCGTATTTCCGACAACAGTTCGAACCGTGAAGGTTTTCTATTTAATTAAGCATTTTTTACTATTTTCACTAGGTTTTTATAATGACTCAATATAAAATATTGCAAGTAAATTTACCAAATAATCTTGATAATGCTTTTTATAAATGCATTTTGAAATATAAATCCTTACTTAGGAAACTGTAGGTAATTTCAACAGTTGTTTATTGTTGTATCTAATTTTCAAAGAACGTGATAGAATTTGCAACGTCCTTTTGTTTCAATCTTAACGTGTATTGACCGCATTTAATTGGCATTAATTTGCAAACATTGTGCGATGATGCGGTGAAATTATGTCAATTTACGAAGCTCGTCGATTTATTTGTCTAGTGCCTTTTTTACTCTGCTAAATTTGTTACGTGTAGGTAATGTTTTTGAGAAAATCTTTTAACTTCATAATTATTTAGCAGAGGACTTCTTCCGACTTACAATAATATACAATGTGAGTTGGTTTTTATTTAAGAAACCAGTTGGAAACGTCGCATTATGCTCACAAAAGTTTCAGTTCTCTTCCATGTGACCTTGATGGTATAAAAACGGCAATCGAGGTCGGAATATTACGTGAAGCCCCATCTCCTTTGTTACATCGATTGGTCATCGTTACCAAAAGTAATATTGAAAGTAAAACTGACATGTCAACTTAGAAAAGAGATTTTTAAAATAGCACCCAGTAAGTAAAAATTTTAAATACTCATCCTCGTTTTACGACAGCAAAGCTAACGTGACATCGAGGTTTATTGTGAAAGGTTTAACATGACTTTTCGTACATACATTAAGTAGGTAACTCTTATTATAAAAGTCAGTGACGAAAGTATGACGACAATTATTAAAAAAGTGCATTGAAAATAGAATACATATTTCTTGGCACGTAGCTGTTGAGTTGGTGCTGACGAATACTGTATAAGAATCGGTAAAAATCGGTTTTTGGTTATGCGAACAATTAGTGCTCTAATTTTGTTGCAATTTCGGAAAAAAATAAAAATCTCTAAATTAGGAAATATATAATTATAATTTCCTTTCTCCCGCTCTTTCGTCCAATAAACTTTTGAGATTTCATATAGAGCCAAGTCTGGCGTACTTTGCATTGAATAAATTTTATTTATTACTTAAAGCACTCGATGACTATTATTATTTTTGTCAGTTTAAATAAAAATGTGATATGAAATCATTCAGCCCAAAATTAATTAATGTTTTCGGACGATTTACGCTGCATTCAAAAACGCGTTTCATTCGAATAAGGTCGATTTTTACTTAATGATCGGAATTTTTGAGCACTCTGACTTCCCGCTTAAATAAATATAAATGCGGGTTAATTTTATTGCTAACCAAAAATTCCCCATATTGTAAGCGCAAAAGGGTCTATAAAATGTTTTCTCCCAACGTGACACAGAGACTGTGAGCTAGAAAGTATGCGAGTGAGAAAGTACAGCGGTCAATCTGAGCATTTGACACACATTACGAACATTATGTACCATTTTCAACACATTCTGCTTTATACAAGGCATTTGTAATCTTAAGTGTTTTTAAAATAGAGATGCGAACAGATTAATGCAACAAATGGATTTAATTTGACTGACGGAATTGCATTAGGTACCTACCATAAACAACTACGTCTAATACTACTGTTATTTATACAGAATATACAAATTCGGAATACACATTTTGCTCGATTAACAGCTGATATTGTACGAGTTACTCGCTGGGTATTTTTAAAAACTATAGATACAGTCGTCTGCTTCTGGAATAAGTACCTAGGTACTTTGAATAGCCTACTGTAAGTATACTTGAGATATGATTGATTCTCTATACAAACTTACATCACCTGTTTCACCCGCTTTAAGAATTGTTTTTGTGACAAAAAGCAGCCTATGTTCCCATAGTCTGTCTTTTATGAAGACGGAGTAATATAACATTTGCAGAGTTGCCAGTTTTCATAAAATTTTAAATAGTCGTGTGGTTCTTGTCGACAGTTTTATCGATAGATTGTGAAATAAGGTAACGTTTTGCCAAAAATGTCTGAAATGTGAATGTTACATTAAATTGTTACATTCTATGCCTTCATTATTCCTATTTTGACCGTTGGCCGACTAGTTTTGAAATGAATTTTTATTCGTACATGCATTTTAATAACGATAGGTGAATTTGATTATCTATATTGAATTAAAATGAAAATTTACAAAAATGGACACTCCAAATGATGATTAAAATGTTCAAAATACAAGTTCGGCTTTTTATAGCGTAAGCGTAACCAACATTCAGTCGATAGTCGATAGAATATTTGTCGACTTCAATCACTAGCTGCTTGCAAGCGCGCAAAACTTTTGCGCAATGAATGGCAACTGTCCTTTTACTCCATTTTCAAAAAAGACAGACTATTCCATCGATCTTTACACCAAAATTCAAAGTCAAAGTCAAAGTCAAAGTCAAAGTCAAAGATGATTTATTCCATAGGTAAAATAAATTTACACTTGAAAACGTCACATTTAAGGTACTGCTCGTTCACTACGCTGACCTCCCTGAGAAGAACGAGCAAGAAACTCTAGGGATTGCTCTTTTCAAATAAACTTAAATGCTATGGAATACATTTTGAATCAAATTTGTGTGGATTCAGGAGCCATGTCGTCTTTCCATACATCTTTATCTAACACGTAGTCTTCAATTTTGTAATATGCTTTTTCGATCAAAATATTTTTTAATGTACTTTTTAAACTTAGGAAATGATAAACTTAATATATGCTCCGGAATCTTATTGTAAAAACGTATACAGTTCCCCATAAAAGAGTTGTTTACCTTGGTTAAACGAAATCGTGGTACCATGAGTTTGGACTTAGCTCTAAGGTTAATATTATGGATATCTTCTTTCTTATTGAAATTATGTATATTTTTACGGGCATATAAAATATTTGAGTAAATGTACTGTGATGCCACAGTCATGATACCAGTCTCCTTAAACTTTTCTCTGAGAGATACCCGAGAGCCTAGACGGTACACAGAACGAATCGCTCGTTTTTGCAATACAAATATGGTTTGAATATCTGCCGCTTTACCCCACATGAGAATCCCGTAGGACATTATACTATGGAAGTAACTAAAGTAAACTAATCTAGCAGTACTAACATCGGTAAGCTCACGTATTCTGCGGACTGCGTATGCAGCGGAGCTTAATCTGCTGGCCAGGGACGATATATGTGGAAACCACTGAAGTTTACTATCTAAGGTCACTCCCAAGAAGACTGCTTTATTAACAAGGTCTAACTTTTCTCCGTTTATTTCTATGCTTGGACTAGTCGATTTTACGTTAGGTAATTCAAATTTAACACATTTTGTCTTCTTGGCATTAAGCAATAAATTGTTAGCATTAAACCAATAAACTACTTTAGAGAGGGTATCATTAATACGGTCATAGTTAATGTCATGTCTGTCTGTTTTAAAAATCAAGGATGTGTCATCAGCAAACAACACTATTTCGCAATGGTCCTTAACAAAGAATGGCAGATCATTAATATAAATCAGAAATAAGAAAGGTCCAAGTATTGAGCCCTGCGGAACACCCATTTTTACTGGAGAACCCAAAGAAGTCGCTCCATTTATGCCTACTTTCTGAATTCTACCGTTGAGATATGACGAGACAAGTTTCGACGCCTTGCCATTTACACCGTAATGTTCCAGCTTACTAATAAGAGTATTATGATCAACGCAATCAAATGCCTTTGAGAGGTCACAGAAAACACCAATAGCGTTCTGGGACCTTTCCCAAGCATCAAAGATGTGTTTTAGTAACGCTACCCCCGCATCGCTAGTCGATCTACCACTAGTAAACCCGTATTGTTCACTATGAAAAATATGATTCCTACCGAAATAGGACAGTAATTGAGTTAGCATAACCTTTTCGAATATTTTACTTAAAGCTGGTAAAATTGAAATGGGCCTATAATTGCTAGGATCAACTTTCCTACCGCTTTTGAATAAGGGAATAACCTTGCTGTATTTCATTAAATCGGGAAAAACACCTTCGTCAACGCACCTATTGAAAGCTATAGCTAACTGTGGGGAAATGAGATTAATAACTGAGTCTATAACTTTAGTTGATATGCCCCAGAGATCTTCAGTTTTTTTAACATGTATTGACTTAAAAGCTTTTATGATGTCTTGTGGATTAACATGACGAAAATTAAATAAACTGCCACAAACGTTAACATTTTCCTTTAGGAGATCAATAGCAAGTGAAGGGGAGGAATTTAATGATTTTGTAGTGTTCACAGCAATTTCCGAAAAGAACGATTCAAAAGCTTGGGCTACTTTATCTTTAGATTTTATAAGTGTGCTGTCTAATTCTAAAACTATATCTCTATCGTGTAGTTTAACCCTGCCTGACTCTTTATTTATTATGCTCCAAGTAGTTTTAGATTTAT